GTGAAACGCCAACTCAAAAAAAAAAAAAAAAAAAAAATGTGTTGGAGAAGGACTTTAATTGTCACAGCTTGGGTCTGTAGTCAGGAAGATGGAGTGCCATGAATAGCCTGGTTTGAATCAGATGCCAGTCAACTGAGGCTAAGGGTGGGACCAGTAGGACTAAAGTAGTTGCCACTAGAACCACAGAGTGGGGGTAAGCCATTTCCATTTCCAAAAAGGAGCAAGAGGAGTTGCACGCCTTTACTCATACTTTCTAAAAATTATAGCCATCCAGCTCCAGGCACTTTCCGGATGTTCTCAGGATTGCAGGAGAAGGAAGGATGGGTCAACAGACTATGGTCATTTCCAATATTGAGAACCAGGTGTAAGGCAGTGCTTAGCACCTTACTCTCGGAAATGGCTGGATGATTGGATTATTTTTCTGGGCATTAGGGCTCAGCCCATTTCCCCCTCTGGTGCTGGGAAATAGAGGCTGAAGGGGTGAAAAGGAGGTTCAGTTATTCTAGACGTGTCCACTGAGTCCTTAGTCTATGCTAGACACTGGGAGGGGTGGGGGAAGCACAAGATACACATTCCGAGGAGTCTGGGCCTCCGGGGACCGAGGTCGCTTGGTTGGGTTTGTCCAAGCTCTGAACCGACAGCCACAGAGAGGTGAGGTGATGGCCAGGCAGGGCTGGTGCCGGGAGAGGCCGGCTCCCGTCGCCGAAGCCCCACGCCGCGTGCCTGGCTCCCCGCCCCTGGCTCTCCGGCCCCCGGGCTGGCCTCGAGGACCCCAGTTCGAGAAGGCGGCAGAGTCCCCATGTGCAAGACGGTCGGAGCAGGGAAGGTGGGGGGGAGTGGGAAGGAAGAAGCTGGATCCCGGAGCTCACGGAGGGCCCTTTCGGCTCCGCGCAGGGACGCCGCGCCGCGCGTCGCCCCCTGGGCTGCGGGCCGAGGGGAGGGCGCGCCCCCGCACCCCACGCCCCGTCTCTCCACCCCCGCCCCCGCGTCTCGGAGCCGCGCTGCCCGGCCGGCCGGGCCGGGGGAG